TAAGAATCTGGTGGGATTGTATCTTTGTCTTTTTAGTTCTGCCTCTTTGCTTGAATGTTATTGATTATTTGATACTTTAGTGTTCATTCATTTTAACCTTATATAAACCCAGTTCCTGTACTTGTTTCGGAGAAAAAGTGGTTTCGTCGTTCTACCCGTCTCTTGTTAATGTTTTGGTGGAAATGTAATTTATCATGCAAGTGATTCACGTGTATCTTGCAGTTATCGTTATCGACTGCATGCTGTTCTTCCTTTTGACGAGCTCTGTGGGACAAATTTGTTTTAAATATTTTCCTTATCATTTTATGTAATGTGATGCTTTTTTTTGACTACGTTCTAAATATCATCTTAGATATTTTCATTTTTAGATGATTTTTAGCGCTAATAGCGCGGATTTTCATCTGTAATTCATGGAGACATTTTATTTACTGCTTTTAGTTTTGATTAATGAATCTTGACTATAATCAACGGACTTCAAGATGTCAAGACTATTAAATTGCAATTAAATAATGTAATGAAAGACATACTTCTTAGATTAACACCTTTAAAAGTTAGATATGTTGCATTTCTATTCCACAATTCCGGAAAATTTCTTTAATATCGTGATAAAGAAAGGCTTATATTGTGACAGTTCACCTTAAAAATTCGGACCAAATATGCTTGAGGATAGTTTTTTTATTTGGTTTCAGGATTTCTAGCAGCGTACTTTCAGTGTGCCATTTTTTTTTTTCTTTTTTGGAAGAAGTTTTCGAAGCATCTAAACATTCAGCGTATCGAAAAGCTGTTCCTTATCGGCCGCAATGCGTAATTTATAGTGGAATTTGAAAATTGTATCCAGATATGATTTGTCATTTATGGGCTTGTAATGATTTCACAGATGTATTTGATGGTTATTTTTTGTATTATTTCTATTTGGACATTACTTTTAAGACATATGTTGTGATATGATTATTTTACAATTGGATTGTATTGTACATTTGATTACACTGATTACCTTCTCATTTCAGTTGAGCTCGTAAATTGAAGTAAAAAAATTTGTTGATCTAGTTTTGAACATCTAATTTTATTGAAAAAAGAAAAAGACTAGTTTTGAAGTTTTAAAATTAAGAAATAGCTTCTTCTTTTTTTTGTTATTTAAATGTATGAATGTGTAATTTTATAAGATACAGCTTTGCATTCTTTGTTTTTGGATTTAATTTAGAACTACAATTACAATACGTTTCAAAGCAAATAAAAAAACAATTTTTGCCATCTAGTTATTAGGTACTACTGATAATTCATTTTTAATAAGATGAAAGTTTACTGCAATAGAAATAGAATGAAGTGAAACAACAGATATTGGATGATTAGTTAGTACTTTTATTTCTAATCAGCTAATTTACCTTTATTTGTCAAGTTAAATTTAATTGAAAATTTGACCAAATTTGTTTGACTTTCATGCTTTTTTTCCATCACTATACTAAAATTAATCATTGTTATCTTATCATGTTTACTTCTTTATGGCTTTTTCACCTGATAAAAGTTATCCGATTAAAATGGAATGTTTTAGCAAACATTTTAAAAAAATTTGTTATCATTCGTTGTTGATACTCTAAAAAAGGAATGCAACAAATGATATAAATTAAACAGTAAAGAATTTTATACGATTGTAAATAATTGCTAATTAATACGTCCACATGATAATTATTTCTTTTATTTATTTATTTTTTTTCAAGCATGATAGTATATTTTCTGAAGGTTATTATTATTTACAATATTTCATGTCAAAAATTTAATATAAGGCGAAAAAAAAAGTTAATTATAATACGAAATATTTATTGCTATATCATTGATTAATATAATAATACATAGTTTTCATTGTTATATTGTTTATTAATCACAAATAATCTTGATTATTATAGTGATACATGTTTGTTAATCATAATCATAATTATTATTATAATATGGTAGATAAGTAATAGATTTGTTCATTTGTACAGATAAAAGAAAAAAAAAGTATAATTAAGTGATATATTATTGTCAATGATAATAATTATCTCAGAATTGCAATGATGAATCATTTAGGGTAAAAATTTTCAGGAAATTTAATTATTTGATGTTTATGCTCATGTTTGCTTGTCTTTTTTCTTTTTTTTTCTTTTATGAATGGTATACATTTATTGTGATGACCCGATTGGAGACAGTTCCGCTTTGTCAATAAATTGTCATCATTGTTGTGGGCGCATTGATGATTGCCAATGGTTCAGTATAAAACTTCGTAAATTGATGATACTGATATCATGTTTGATTTTATGATATCATTTTCTTAACATCATGAAATTAAATTTATCTCTCTCAGTCTTTATTATCTATTATCTGTTTAAATTATTCAAATAATTTCATCATGAAATGATAACTTGTTTGTTTTTTTTTTTGTTTTTCTTTTTGATTTATTTTATTATTTAGTGAGAAAACAACAACGACAATTATCGATATTATTACTGTAAATTTTGCTCTTATTAGCTATGCTATTGCCTATTTCAATGGAAGATTTGGAATTATTTCCAAAGAATAATCAATTGATATTACCTAAATCATCGGTTGCGCAATTTTTACCTGATGAATTTGAACAGGTATGAGTCAAAAATAGTTACCTTTTAAATCTAATAAAAATATTTCATTATGTGGCAATTATTCTTCCCACTAATTAAATTGTTTCATTAATTTCTTTATATTTTTCAATAATTCATTTCTAAAATAGTATTTATCAAACAACTTTGCAATCATTTAAATTATCTTCTAAGAAAAGGAAAAAAAAGCTAATTTAGTTTAAATTGAAAAAAAAGAAAAATTTATTTTAATATGAAATTAAAGGAATTAAATAATAAAGAAAGAAATTTTAGATGCGTAATCAATTAGCAAAAATTTGGTGGTCTCGACTTATTATCTCTGTACGTGGTTACGTTGCAAATTATATTGAGGATAATGATGAGAAATTATTTCTTACTGATGATGCATTTATTATCATTCATCGTAATCTTGTCGAATCTACCGTAACTAATGCTATAAAACAGGTTTTGTAATAATTTTTTTTTTTTTTATAAAAATTGAAAAAAAAGAAGGATTAAATTTTCGAAAAATTTGTTTTTTCTTTCTCAAATAATCTTTGTTCTATGGGAAACTTGTCAGTTAGAAAATTTTAAATAATTTTCTTTTCTTCTATAAGTAAAATAAGAGAAAGAGAAAAAAGAAAAGTGATAAAATTTTAAATTAATATTTATAAAAAATAGAGAAGGAAATTTAAAAAGAAAAAAAGTAAAGAATTCAAATAAAATTTATACTGTACAAAGTAATAATGATGAATATATGATTTTTTAAAAAATTGAAATGAAATTAACATTCATCAGAAATATTTAAAAAGACTGAAAATCTTTTTTTCTCATAAAAAAAGAAAAAGAAAAAAGTAGAAGATAATAATTTAGAAATGAATAAAATAATATAGAAGAGGAATAATCTGTTGTAAATTACATGAATCATTAATCAATCAATCAGTCAATCAGTCGACCTTTATTTAATTAACGAAATTAATTAGGCTCTTTTTATGTTCAATTGTTATGTGATTAGATTTTTTAGAATAATTCTATTGTTTCTAATCAATAGCAGCAAGTGAAAGTTATCATTGAGATTGAAATGATAAAATTTAAAAGAGATCAAATTATTAAATTCTCGAAAATTCATCTTTTTCATCTATCATATTCAGTATTACATGCCATCAAATTATTTTAGTTAGTCTAGTTATTAAGTAACATACTTTCATTCAATTAATTGAACCTATGGAATATTAATTAGAACAAATACTAGCATACAACGAATTAACCTAATTAACATAAGAGTAGGCATCATTTCGAATTTAAATTATAGAAGATTTTAATTGAACCAAATTTAATTTGATTCAATTATGATAAATCTAAACTCTTGCATATAATTTAATCCAATTAAAACTATTAATGCAATTAAAATAAACCAAGTTATTTGATTATATTGATGAAATATACGCAAATAATTTACAATTGAATCTGTAAATTTTATTTTAAATTATATTGAAATATTTCTGTCCTAAATAACCATCAACAAATGCAATTTTGAATTTTTTTTTAATTTTTTAAAAATTTTCTTTTTCTCTTTTCGCTTTTTTTTTATTTTCCTTTTTTTGAAATCTATGCATCATTCATTTTAATCAGCAATATTTTCTATTTTATAATAAAAGCAAAAGAAAAAAAAAGATACGGTACAATTTAAAGTGGAAATTGATCACTTTTATTTCGAAAGTAATCAAGTTTGTTAAATGTTTGCTACACAAAAATGAGTCAACAGTTATTCAATAAAAGAATTCAAACAAGTTCTTCATGATTTCGTCAACTCTTTTTCTCTTTTTTTTAATTTCCAAAAAAAAAACTTTCTATAGATATGAAGTGAATGATTTTTGTTATAAAATTTAAATTACTTTTAAAAGATATGAATTTTTGTTTTAGTTTCGAAAAGAAAAAAATAAATAAATTGATATAGTACGAAAATGTTAAGATATATTCATACTAACAAATACTGAAATATTTTATAAAAGATATTGCAAGGAGATAAGGTAATAAGGTCAGTTGATTAAAGATCATGAATTTTGGTTGATTAAAAATCATAGATTCTGAATAAAGAAACTATTAATTATCATGTAAATTTGGGATGTAAAATTATTAAGAATTATATTGGTTCTTTCACAGAAAGCTATTCATTTATAAGTGAAATTCCATTCATAGGTAAAATATATAAATAAATTTACCTAAAAGACCGATTAAAAGTGAAAGTATGACTAAAATTTTGTAATCAAAAGTGTAAATTGCAAAAATTTCAAGTTAAAAAGATAGTTTTCATCATAAATTGCAAAAATTTAAGATCAAAAAAAGAATCAATTTTTCACTCTCCCTTTCTCTCTCTCTCCATCTCTCTGTCTGCCTCTCTCTCTCTCTCTTCTTCTCTTCTTTTTCTTTGTTCGAAAGAAAAACGGACGCTACCAATTGATTTCTTTTTATATACAGTTATACAGAACAATAATTAG